ACCACCGAAACTGGGAGGAATGGGATTGACCAATCCAGAGGAGATTGCTGCCACCGAACATCAAAACAAAGTTAAGCTCATGGCAACCCTCACTGACCACATAATACCTCAGAATGCAACAGGTCAGGTGGATACCAGTGAAGTAAACAAGATTCGAAGGTCCATTACGACAGAACGACAGCACGGCCAAAGTGATAAGTTGCAGCAATTAATGCTGCAAGTACCAGAGAATTTGAAAATAAAGTAGGAATAGCGAAGGAAGTGGGCACCTCGAACTGGTTAACTACGTTACCAATAAGGGCAAATGGTTACAGTCTCAATAAACAAGAATTTACAGATGCCAATGCTCTAAGGTACGGTTGGCCAGTAGAAGGTTTGCCCTCCCAATGCGTGTGTGGCTCTTCCTATGACGTCGATCACGCCATGGTGTGCATGAAAGGGGGCTTTATATGCATGAGGCATGACGAAGTAAGGGATCTCTCAGCAAATATGTTGAAGGAAATCTGCCGTGATGTCAGGGTTGAACCGACCCTCCTTCCAATGGACGGGGAGATTTTCCAACATAGGACTTCAAACACATCTTATGAAGCCCGTGTTGATGTCAGTGCTCGAGGATTCTGGACGCGGGGACAGCGAGCTTTCTTCGACATCAGGATTTTTTTATCCCATGGCCGCATGTCACCGTAACTTAGCTCTCGATGCTGCACACAGGAGGAACGAGAACGACAAGAGAAGGGCATATGGGGAGAGAATTCAAAACGTTGATCAAGGCAGCTTCACTCCTCTAGTGTTCACAACCTCTGGTGGGATGGGACCAAGTGCAAGATGCTTCTACGCCAGACTCGCGGAGGTGATATCCGAACAGAAGCAGCAGCCCAGAAGTTATGTTACAGCCTGGATGAGATGTCGACTGTCCTCCTCTCTCCTTCGGTCGGCTCTGCTCTGCCTCAGGGGAACGAGAGCATCGGCCCCAAACCCGACAACTGCTGCAGATATTGACTATGAGGCTACAGTCACTGAATGCCGCATAGATCTGCGGCTCAACTAACTCAACACAGATAGGATAGCTACTTATGTATTAGGATATTTAATATTAAGGTAATAAAATGGTGGCGAAGGTGTGGCTATTGGGGGAGGCTGGAGGCCATTTAGAAAAAAAAGAAGTAGTAGTAGTAGTAGTAGTAGTAATTGTATGCAGAAGAGATAGCATGTGTAGGGCGATCAGTACCGTCATTATAGATGTACGTGGGGGCGGGGCATAACAAGAGGATTGAGAGAGCTACAGTGTTCACATCTGGCATAGGCAAGTATATATAGTGAGCATAACCCAAGAGCTAATATAGTATTACGGTCAGAACAGAAGGTTAAAGATCAAGAGGTCAAAGTCATTTACCTGGCACATAGTTTTACTTACAGTTAATATATGTAATTACGTCCCCATGTACTTGTATTAATGGACTTTTAGACTTTGTTCTACTTACAATAAATACTGGAAATGGTATCCACTTCTAACGTTTACTGTCATCAATTCTATTATTCGCTATAAATAGAACAGGTAAACCACTATATTGTTTATTAATTACAGGTACACAGGGACTTCTCGATCACTCGGTATGACACACGCACTATGACGACCCCTGAGCCGACTTTTTTTTGAGAGATGAAACGGCAAGTTATCAACCGGTGTGAGTGACGACTTGCTTAAGGTCATTCAGTTTTTAATATGTGTATCTTGGGGGGAGTTAAGGAGGGAAGGAGGGGTAAAGGGGGAGTTAGGGAGGGAAGGAGGGGTAAAGGGGGAGTTAGGCAGGGAAGGAGGGGTGAAGGGGGAGTTAGGGAGGGAAGGAGGGTGAAGGGGGAGTTAGGGAGGGAAGGAGGTGAAGGGGAGTTAGGGAGGGAAGGAAGGTGAAGGGGAGTAAGGAGAAGGGGAGTTAGGGAGGGAAGGAGGGGTGAAGGGGGAGTTAGGGAGGGAAGGGGGGGTGAAGGGGGAGTTAGGGAGGGAAGGAGAGGTGAAGGGGGAGGAGGGTCAGAGTAATATATATTCCTACTTGTTCTCTTAATTTCTCCCTGAGCCGTTACCAGTTGATCAATTATTATTCACACATTATTTAAATGGGAATTGATGCATTAAAGTGAAACATCGGTTTATGAATCACTAACCTAAAAGTTTTATAACTACATCGTAACTTCTAATCATCATTTATGCTTTATTTTAACCTCATTACATATTGATTTTATTTTCAACTATGACTTTGGAATTGTGTAAACTTTATTCTCTCTTTTATTTCCCCCCATATACCTTTTACAAAACTCTACTGCAGGTTATTCACGTCTCAAGACAATTTCCGGCAAGGGAGAATGTGTGTCAGCCAGGGGTAACGAGGTCTGTTTTCTACCGTCCTCCTCCACAATCATAGAGTTGGGCGCTGCTTTTTATTTACTTAGTTCGTTTTACCCTATATTTTTTTTGCTGTATGTCTAGCGAGGCGGAGCAGGTCAG